GTGTGCGTGTGTGTGTGTGTGTATTTGCGGGCGGACACAAAGCCAACAGAGCAACAGATAGAAATCTCCAGAAAGAAGAACGTGTCTTATCAACCTCGCTCTGGCATCCGGCAACTGTGACGTCATTACTGACCTTTGCAAGAGTGTAAAGTCCACAGCTGTGGTTAGTTCATTTCTCAGCTTTGCTTCTCGGTGGAAGCAAGGTCAAAGCGATATTTTTTTTCTCAAAATTAGAATCCGCAGGATGTTTTTATTGAACTATGGCTGTTCATAATGTGTCCTCTAAATTTTAATCTCGCCAAATCTGCTTTTTAGCTATTCTTTAAACAAATGGAAAATAAGTATAACATGTACAATAAAAGAAAAACTCACATCCACTCCTGCATTATTTTGAAGTAGGTAGGAGTATGTCGTATTGCACTAGTACCACAGCTTGCAGAACAAAAGTGTAAAAAAAAAATCATATAATTTCCTTGTCAAGGCTGTCATTGTGGTTTATGAACACAGGTACATATTGCTCCAGCTTCACGCTAATAAAAACGATACACGTCACAGTGCACCTTAACATAGGGGCACATGGAGTTTTAAAAATGTAGGCGTTTGCACATACTCAAACAGAAAAGTGAAGCTTTAAAGGTACGCGTTGCGTTAATGTATGTATGTTCGGGTTGAAAAAAGTCGTCACCCTACTATTCGTTGAAACGTATTAATCGAATATATCTGGATGTGTCTGTTTGACTCTTCATAACTCAAAACTTACTTTGTGGGCATGATATTCAGCAGACAGAGATCTTTGTTGGATTCTCTCTTGTCTTTATCCACTCTTTTCTCTTGGTTACCTCATGCACTTTGGACGTTCTGATATACGTATACAATTCTGTCGTGTGCTTTTCCATCGGAAGGGATATACAATTGCGAATTGAAAACAGAAAACCAATGAGAAACTGCAGGCCTAATGTGCATCCTATACTGCATGGTTTGTATTTATCTTCTTAATTGTAGCTCTGCTGCGATTTGTTTGCTCCTTAGCATTCTTTGCTCCTTATATTCTTTGCTTTTAATATTCTTTGCTTCTAATAATATTCCGTGTTTTACTTGGTTAATGCATGAGGTATTTTTTCAGTTCCTCAAACGTAGAAAAAGACTGCTGCACATATAAACGATCAATGAGAAAGTTTGTAAATTGCCTTTATGAGGTAAAGGACCGCAGATAAACGACCCTTTACTCTCTAAGAGGTAACATTTTGGGTTAGATATAGAAAGTTGTGTCCTATGATCAGCTTAAATCCCCTAATGTACAACCAATTGTTTGATATTTAAATCTCATTCACAAAATATCAAAGACGTCTCTGATAAGTGCAGAATTTAACTCGTTGGAACATACATGCTTGATACGATAAAGTAGTAATACCTAAAGCGATATATAAGGGTTCTCAAGAAAAAGCTACGGCCCTTTTTTTATACTTTCATCATAATAATTTTTATTTTAAAAAAGTAATCAACTTTGACTTTATCGTATATTTGCTACACAGATTTATCAAAGCCATGTTACGCTGTCCTTAGCTTTGGTTGACAGAAGTAACTTTTTCACAACGAGGTTTTGTCCTCTTCTTGCATGCCAGACATTACCATTATTCTTTAGGTAGGCATATTTTCTTTTTCGTTTGTTCTCCAATCCCTAGGAAAAGAAGAAGCTACTTTTTGAGTCTTTTAAAAAGTTACTGTATTTAAAAAAAAGAATTAAAAATTCTGGTCAGGGCTGCTGTAATCCATAGCGTTTTCTTGAGTACCCTCCGTTGAAATTGCTTAAATTTTCCTAAATGCTATCAGTCCTTTGTGATCATCCTTTTCTTGCCAAAGTTCATTCCTGCCTGGTTAGCAAACTTGTTGGTCCCCATCTGCAAGTTGATCACGCTCTCGCCCATGCGCAGTTGCTCCTCCGTGAAAGTTCTTCGGTTCGCTTCGGACTTCTTCGGCCACATTCGGCTACCGGTGTAACTGGGGCGGGACTCGGCCTGAGGAGGGAGCAAAGGGAGAATATTACACATTAATACATGTATATTATATTTTATGGCTGAACATTGAAATTCGACATCTTGAAAGGAAATAGATAAGAAAGAACCGTTCTACGAAGATAAGATAAGATAGGATAAGATAATAGATTATTGTCCATGTGGCCATTGTCAGACATTGACGGACCTACTACTATTATTTCTATTATTATTATTATTATTATTATTATTATTATTATTATTATTATTATCATTATTATTATTATTATTATTATTACTTATTATTATTATTATTATCATCATTTCGACAATTTATGTCCATCCGATGGCGTTCCCTTTTTGTCTGAAACAGGGTGAGAAAAAGAGGCAGGAATGTGTTTATTGATTGTTTTTTTTTCTTTGCAGACGTCTCATTAGTTTAATCTCGTCTGAATTTCTAAAAGATCGTATTCCCATAATATAAACATAGCTTTAGAGTACATGTGTATTTGTTTTGTACAGTGCCATTTGTCAATCTTTATAAAGAGTTATTTTTATTTTTGACAATCATTGAGAGGCAAGATCCCTGCGGAGGGTGTAAGGGAGTTTAATGTTGAATTTATCTGTTTGAAAGACAGAGTACAGTTGAATGGAGTTGATTTTTTGTTGATACTCAGACGTAAAAACGTAGGCCTATATATATATATA